TGGGTACACTACATTTTTCTTCCACGTCTCAACTTGTGTGAAACGTTTCATCCATACCGTAACAATTCAACGATTAGAATGAAGCGTGTGAGCTCGAATCAAGTGAAACAAACGTAGTTCGATAAGACGGGGAGGCTCCATTGGTATGCGCGATGTCGTTCCTCCAACCTTTTTTTTTTTCCACCCTTCTTAACAAGTGCCCTCCTCGATTCTCACCAGATGACCATCTGGCTCCTTGAGTCCCCCCAAAAAATACACATGTGTCCCACGCGTCCGTAGAGGGTGAAAAGTCGGTTGAGGGTAGTCGTTGGTTGGGGACAAAGGAAAAATTGCGTGCCCACATGATATTATACGTACATGAAAGCGAGGATTAAAAAAAAAGAAAAGGTACAACGTCTTCGCTAAAAAGAAATAACGTATATAATATATAGGGTAAGGGTGGGGGGGGGGAAAGGGGGCCATAAGATTCCCCGTACTCGGTCGGGAAAAAAAGGGGTTGCGGGTGCAGGTGCGTCGTCGAAGACGGTGGAGGAGTAATGTATGGGTGCTTGGCAGGGCTGCGGGGCTCTGAAAGCGTGAGAACGAGTCGTGGTTCCTTCGCCTTCTTGTTCGTCGTCTTCGGCTGGCTCCCTTTTTTCCCCTTCTTCGTCTTCTTCTTCTTCTTCTTCTTCTTCTCTTTGGGGCGAAGGACGACGACGCCGTGGCGGGTAGAGAAAGAGGGGTGAGTTAGCCCCGGAGCGCCTTCGGCTCTCCCACAAAGGGATACGAAGCAGGGGAGAATCGAAGGGACGTACTTTGGTGTGTGTGTGTGTGTGTGAGTTGTTGCTTCTTTTTTTTCTGGTTCGGGGCTATTCTCTGGCTGTATAAAATTCGCAGGAGCCCTCGTGTCTGTTCAGCGTAGGTACGCAATATTTTCTGTCGATGGAGATTTAGTTAGCGAATTCATTTAAATAACCATTTATTTTCCTTTACTTAAAACAAAAAACGCTTAAATTGTTTGTGATTAAAAAAAAGGGCTTTCGCAATGTAAAATCATACGAGATTTTTGTGAAGAATTGTCCTCCTCTTCGACTGATTTTGATCTTACCTTGAATTGCTTTTTGATTTCTTGTCGAAACATCTCACTTTCTTTTTCAATTGTTTACTTAAATAAAAAAAAAAAAACTACTAAACATTCAAATGAAAAGTGTATATAGTTGGGTAATTGAATGGATCAGACGAATGTTAATTTAGACACCCTGTGGATGGCATCGTGTCAACATATTTCTACGATATTTGCACCGAAAAAAAAAAAAAGTTTTTGAATCCAAATGATCCCTTGAAATATCTTGGAATCTTACCCCCTTACAAATTGCCACGTGAGTTTACAGAATCCTCAACCAGCTATTCTGTTTCAAAGTACACGTGGAATCTCGCATGGAAACGATCACACGTAACTTTCATAAATGCAGAAACAATTTTGTCTCAGGAAACCAAATGTTTTGCCCCTCTAGTCCGCAAAAATATCGACTTTATCACTCTTACCATCGAAAGTTGCTCACCGCGATTGAAAAAAATCCCCCACGACGAACAACAACACCCATCACTCGAGGGGACGCATATATACACGATCTCCTCCCAGCAAAGCATACAAATGGCGAGGAAAAAGGGAGAGCCACGCGGTGCACCGAGGTCCAGAGGGGCCGAAGCCAAAAAAGGAGCCACAGCCGCCCCTACATCTTCTCCGTCTACCTACCTGTACCCAAGTTTACCTGTACTTGGCTACATTTGCTTATCGCGGTATACATACTCGAGTATGCTCAAGGAATCCCCTCCCCCTCCCCATAAGTGATCTCTGTTCGTTACTATGATCTTGAACTTTCTCACGTTGATTTTCGAGCGTATGGTGATAAGGATCGTTGCGTAAATCGGAGGATTTCGGGCTCGTGCTTATCTGACGCGCCTCTCTCGCACACACGCTGCACGTATATCGTGCTTACTGGTTTCGTCAAAGAAGTTTGATGAAAAGAAAAAAAAGTATACATTTTCATCCCTTGGTGCTCTGTTTTTTGCCAATTTCGTGTGATACGTAAAAAATTCTCGGCTGCCGCACTGAGACGTTCCCTTACCTCCCAGTAGACTTCTCAACCTCTTGCTTCGCTTCACTGTGCGCGTAGGCATGTACACATATATATATATATATATATATATATATATATATATATATATATATATACTCGTTCATTTTCTCTCTTCGACGAAACAAAACAACGGCTCGCTGTTTTCCTCTCGGGCCTGGATGTATAATAAATGAAAGCAGGAAAAGTCGAGGTGCGAGAGAAACAATGTATGTGTAAGCAGGCGACCGCTTGTACTNATATATATATATCAGGAAGGGAGGGAGGGGAGTGCGTGCAAATACACCACACGAGACGCAAGAGGGAGAGCGTCTACTGGTGTACATATATGTGTATACACACGTATTTAGGAGGAACGAAAACGCGGAGGAGAAGGAAAAGGGGCGCGTAATAAGTCGACGAAGAGTGGATGGATGGATGGAGGGTGCGCGCGTGTGTGTATAGTGAGAGCTCGTGGTAGAGAGAGAAAGACCAGATAAGACACACCAAGGGAAAGAGAGGGAAGCGCAGACCCACTCGCCGGGAGGGCCTCTCCTGGTATAGCTGGTACTATATATGTGTATACATACAGTGTGTACGCGAGAGTCGGTGCGAAAATATGCCCCCTCCCCTTACCCCTGCTCCTCGTCTTGCCACCTTATGTATATTCTTTCGTCAACGAGGACGTCCTCTTCTCGTCTCTTTTCGCGTGTCATTACTGATTGCGTCTGGGCTAACCGAGGGGGGGGGGGGGGGTATCGCTGAAACGTCCCGTGAAGGGTGCGAAATGGAGGTGAAGGAGCATGCACAAGCACACTCGAGCGAGCTCCGTCATTATCACTGTACGTATTATTCCATTGCCTCGCTAAAAAGATGATTTTTCATGTCTCTCACAAACCTACACCTACACATAATAGTGTATTTTGATTGAAACCTCGATAAATGATTTCCATCGCGTCGTCATGCGTGCGAGAGGGTTACAGCGCAGTGGCACATTGTGTAACCAGTGCTCCGTGTATACATCACCGTCTTTCATTATACTTACAATGCCACGCGGTTCAGAGGCCAAACGCCCCTGCCACCTCCCCCTTCTTTTACTCGTGAGCATCACGGAGCGCACACAGCTCATGTTATATATATATATTCCACTTGTTGCGCGAGCGGGAGTGTGCGCGCGCGCGCGCCCGCAATCTCCGTGCTCGTATATATATATACTACCTATGACATACTAAATGTACAAATGTGCTTGGCTCGATCTGGAAAAACGAAAAATTAAAAGAGCCTGGTTTGTTGGTTGTTCCCCGCGCGAGCAAGCACGCACGCATGAGCGTACACACGTGCAGTTAGTAGTAACAGCCGTTATGGTGATCCGCGAGCTTTCGAAACAATATATATATATATATATATTTTTTTTTTTCAAGGTCCCAAGTTAACAACGTGTATAGTAGTTTTGACTTGGGTTCTCCTCCTTGTGCAAGCTCGTCGTGAGTTAAATTTTTTTTTTAATTTCTAAATGCTCCTCCCGGCTCCTTAATTGCATGTACATATATTACTTCGACACCAGTTCGTGCCAACTCGCAGACTCTCGGCTCTCGTCGCACTGGGGAAAAGAGTACACGTATATAGGCCCTCCTCCTCCTCCTCTATATGCTTCACCCTTCTGCTTATTACGGTCTCTCTTTATTTCTCTCTGACTCTATACGTATATACGGAATATCGCAGTCGCTCCTTATACAAGTATTGGCGCAAACCGGTGACTATAGACGTCGACACGAGAGGGAGGAAAAAGGAGGAGGTGACGCCACGTGACAGTATTTTTATACGTGTATGAGAGCAGTACCGTGTGTGGGAGGTAACATAGGAGGACTGATGATAATAATAATGATATGACACCCGAACTTGGAAGCTCTCTGTGCTCGACACGCGAACTGTGCCGTATATACATATAATACCGGGTAGGTACTCCGTGTGTATCTATACTCTATATTGTAATGGTTGGGACTTCTCTGAACCTCACTCTTATTCGCGCTCCGCGAGGAAAAAAGCTCGCTTTATCCCATATAAAAAAAAGGATGGTCGAGAGCTTTAAACCACCCGGCAACGGAGCTTGAAATTCAAAGAGGCTCGGACGCGACAACGCGTCGTCCACAAGTGTGTATATATTTATGCACACAGAGAGACTCTGGGCCACGCAACCTATAATACACGAGTATGTATATACCAATACACACGATGCGTGTGTGAGGTAGCAGCCGGAGGGAGGAGGTGGAAAAGAGAGCCCGCGCTCGCGAGTATAGGACGATGATATCATATACATTGCGTGCACATACGACAGCCCGGGTGATGTGCATTTTCGTAAGAGGCGATCGAGCTTCCGATTCAGCCGTACGGTGGCGCGGTGCTTTCGTAACCTGCGCAACGAATGTATCTATAGAACGCGCGAATCGAGTGATCGAACTCTCCCTGGGATAATTCGCCTTCATCCCCTGATGTGCGTCATTGACAACGTGCATCCAAATAAAATAATGGAAAATAAAAACACATAACAAACCGAGGTACAACGAGTGTACGGCTTGTAGGTGGTGAGTAATAAGTAAGACTTATACGCACAGAAGAGAAAAGAGAGAGGAACGCGCCCCTGTAAGGAGGGCAGGAGGAGGGAGGGAGGGAGAGGAGTTCTCTCGCTCGACTTTGCTGACATGGCGTCCTGAGGCCCATGTTTGTGTGCGTTCGCTTCTCTCTCTCTCTCGCGCGTTGTACAAGTGCTCCCAAGAGAGAGAGAGAGAGAGAGAGCATATATTTTATAGAGCTGAGCTAGCGCGATCGAGCAAAAGAGAGAGATAGAGGGTCTCCGTATTCTGTCCGCCCGCGTGCGTCGCGCCAAGCAGACGCGCACCACGTCTTCTCTCAACACATACATGCCGCACTAGTCGCTCGCGAAAATTGCTTTTTTCCTTTTCTGGTTTTTTTTTTCTTTTTTTTTTTCTTACTTTTGTTGCTGCGTCGATGTTACAGTGAGTCTCCGCAGGTCTCGATTGTCGAAACGAGACAATAATACCTATAGGCTTACAACCAAAGTGTGTATAAGTAATATTGTTACAAACTCAACGCAACCAATCTTTACTCTTCTCCGTGTCTCGGTGTGCTCTCGGTGACGAGTGTTGTGATATCTCGCCCTACTCCTCGTTGTGTACATGCGTGCTTGTTTTTTTTTTTTTTTTTTTTTTTTTTATCCAAATACTTTACTTTTTTTTGGAGCATCGGAGTATTACCTACAAGTATATAACTACGACACTACTGGCACCCGCTGCGAGACGTTCCTTAACTTCAGCACTATGTCGAGGTAGGCAGTTGTTATTTTATTCAGTTTGTTTTTTGCAGCGCAACTGTTATTCGTAATAAATTTAATCGTTTGATTTGTCATTCGTGCATCACTTGATCGATTTGCATCAGTGTACCACGCAGGGGTGGAGAAGCGCGAGGGGGGGGGGGAGGGTTACGGTAGGGGTGGACTGGAAAGTTTTAAAGGAAAAAAAAAAGGTCTCCTCCTGCTTGCCGCGCCTTGGCTGGGTATACGTATGTACACCTACATTTCTTCGCTCTGGCCGAGGTAAACGAGCGAGCGAACGACGAACGAGGCAGTGATGACGAAGCGAATGAGAGGCGGTTTTAACCCCCCCCTCCCCGCCCTCTCTCTCTCTCTCTCTCTCTGACTCCCCGTGTGGTTTTGTACATCTTTGTGTGGACACAACGTCCCTCTCATCCCTCTCTTTCTCGCTTCGACTGTGCATGCGTGTGTGTATCATGTAGGATGTACGTGAAATATATAGCTCGTTAGGACACTTCAACTCGGCTCGTGTAACGTAGACGTCACGTGGCTGTGTGCGTGGCCGTACAAAGATTTTTTTTTTTTTTTTTTTTTTTCGTGTTTGTACATAAGCGATGCGTATATAGGTGCGAACTGGTGATGTTTGGTTTCACGGAGGGTGGATTAGTTTTAAACTTTGGTGCAGGTTGGCTTGATATGATTTTTTTTTTCTTCTTTTTTTCTTTTTTAGTTGTACATTGAATCACGAGTCGTTGAAAGCAATATTAGTAAAATATTTTTCTCTGGAATATGAAAATTCCACGGCGCAAGTCGAAATAAGCCCGATCGAGCTGTCCTTTTTGCTGCTTTTTAAATACTTGCAGAAAAAAAAAAAAAAGTTGTAAATAATGGTACTTTTTGATATTAAGAAAGCTTGTACACTGGTAAAAAAAAATCCTCCCAAAAAAGCAATTTTTATCGTAAAGCTTTCCAAGATAAAATAAGGGATAAAAGAGGATGGTAGGAGAGAAAAAGCACGGAAAGACCCGACGATAAAACAGCAAAAAAAGCAAAGCGCCACGAAAAACCCATCGTGTTGCTCTGTCCCTCCTCTCGTTCTTTTTCCTCGTTTCCAGCGAGATTGTATATGTTATATACGTATACATACACAATAATACCCTGTACACAAAAAAAGCACGCAGCTTTTCGCAACGCTTGCACGCGCGCGCGGTGCACGTGTACAACGTATGGAGGTGCGCCAGCACACCTCTGTTGGCTGGCAGTGGTAGTAATGACTGTGTGGGTTATACGTATCCATGGATGATTCCACCGGGGCTAATAACCGGTACGAAACGATCATTTTTCTACGAGGCGTTATCGAAAAAAAAAAAAAAAAAAAAAAAAAGTGTGCGAGAACCGAAAATTGTCGAGCTTTTTTACCTCAAAGTTATTGTCGATCGTAAAACCAGTAGCTTTTATCAACGAACCCTCAACACAAATTTTCCAGTAAAAAAAAAATTCACAGAGTTTAAAAATATCTGCGACATTGTCGCTCGAGGTTTTATAATTCAAACAACTATAATTTCAACCCTGCAGGGAGGAGGGAAAAAATGTATCCAAATTTATATGTAGCATAATATTTATCTTCCTATAATTCCCTCGAGGCGGCAAATCAACCATCATCGACGTGTACGAATGCATACCGTTCACGTGATACTAACAAATGACGGATGGGGAGGGAAAACGCGACTTTCCCCGTGGAAAAACGGGGAACCCACATCATACATACAATAATATACGGATGAGTATTGTGTACTTGTGTTACACGTACAACGTACGTACAAACACATGGCCGGTATCTCGTGTGCGCATCCGGAGAAATTATTCCACTGTATGGGGTATACGAGTATACGCGAGAGCCCGTGAGATTTTTATTGGGATACATCCCAGCCGATGCGCCCTGATTATCGTGGAGCGCGTGCTAATTAATGGCTCGACGGTCGCGTGGAAATTTTTTCCTTTCTTTCCAAAGTTCTGTATACGTATACATGTTACCCTACATATGATGTATAGTAGCCATATAGTGTGGAAAATGCCTGTTGTTATAGATTTCTTCAAATATGGAAGGTACAATGTTGTTGTTATTCTCGAACGGTTTATACTTTTCGAGAGAGATTTTATCGTCTTCCCCGCACGCAGTGATAGCCTCTATTTATAAATTTGCTCGTTCGGTTGTACGAGACATTATATCAAAAATCAAAACACCCGACACTCACCGAGTACAGAAAAGTGCCTTATCAACGATTCAATCGAGCACAAACGCATGGATGTATAATATACGTACATGCATGGGAATAAAATTCATTGGCAGGGGTGTATAAAATATAATTACAAAGCTGGTCTACTACCGATGTATGACTTACACGTATAACACCTGTTGGGTTTTATTTGCTTCGCTTTGAAATACAATTTGTCGAATCGATTTTACATTTAAAGCGCGAATTTCAGCAAATTACGAAATAATCAGATCTCGTTACACGATGCATTACACGCACGTGTATATCGTTACTCACGATTTTCCGTACGTACATAAATAAACGTGCATATTTGTGTGTGTGTGCATATACACGCGCTTAGCTCAGGTAAATACATTTGTACGAGTGTGTTTGTGCCTGTCACTGTACGAACAAGCCAAGTATACATAATCATGCGCACATAGAGTATTACGTACGGACTCACGGAGCCGCAACAACGTGACCGCCGATTGTTACTTTACCGTAACGCGTACATGATAATAATATGTACAATATACCGGCATACTGTCGGACAGTGCAACGCGAGCGTGATTGCGCGCCAATTTTTCACTAATGCATGTATTTATGTATATATATTATATGCATGTATAATTTACCTACAGGTGTACAGTGTGTGTGTGTGCCAATTAAATCGAACGAACGAACGTTTCAATTTCCTATTTACACGTTTTGGGTTCGATGTACTTTTGTCCCTATATATATATTCCAAGTAAATAGACCGGGTTATTCGGAGCGATTCATTCACTAACAGCTTGGGGAGTTCACCTGGGAATCGGTAAAAAAAAATCATTTTGATTCTTCCATGATTTTGGGTACACCTTTGCCTTGATAACATGTGATGCATAAACGCACAGTTCTGTATAAATTTTTTTTTTTTTTTTTTTTTTTTTTTCGCGAGAGTAAGGCTGTATATACAGATAATACGCATGATTTGCAAAAGGAGTAAAAGTGAAGACGAGAGAAAGAGAGATCCAATAGCGTAGGGGGCCAAATTATACAAACCCGAGCTCTTCACAGCTCCCATACTTGTATAAAATTTGACTCCGAGGCTTTTCTCTGCTTTTTTCGGTTGGTCCTGGTTACCCAAACCCCAAGTACGACAAAACACTTTGAAAAAGCACATACAGACAACCGATGTGATCGCTTCCCTCTTACAAGGAACGGCACGCACAAAAAAAAGCCACTCTCCTGTAGCATGTATTATATCGTCACGCGCCGTTTAGACGCACCCGATCCACGACAATGCTCTCACACCTACCCTACAATATGTATACCTACGTACCGTACAGGTAAATAAAAAAAAAAAAAAAAAAAAAAAAAAAAGGCGAAGCGTACCTAGGTATGTATATCCTCACCGACGGAAACTCACTGCACGTGTATCATGCATGCGCGCAGGTACAAGGGAGCCCTAGGGTCGTTGGCCACCACCACAATGTACGTGCTCCCGAGCAGCTATAGCTACCTACCCCGCGAATCGATATTGCTCTCCTATACGCTGGCGTGTTGTGCATCATACGTACGCCCATCGCGAGTGCACTGGTTGGCAAAAAAAAAAAAAAAAAAAAAAAAAAGGTAAAACCTCTTGAAATAAAAGAAATAACGTATATAATATATAGGGTAAGG